GTCATATCCTTTTCATCCACCGCACAATACAAAACTCAGGTCTGAACCATGCATGGGTGCTTTTCTTGTCTTCTTATGTTACCAATATAATTTAACTTTCCTCCAATATATGCATTCATTTGATCTTCTTTTGTCTCTTTCCAAGGTTATTTTATCAAGCTGGAAAGCACCCAATGGACCACAAGTTCCCAGACTTTTTAGTTCATCAGGTCAGGGAGGTGCAAAGCGAAAGCTTGTAATTAAGTTGGTGTTCGTTGTTCTGCCCCTCAAAAAATATATGCACACCATTTTTTGGGCTTACTGAAGATCCGCTGAAAGCCCACTGGGTTTGTTAGATACAAATTAAAGGCCCTTTCGTGTTTATCAACCAACTTGGGCGGGCCTTCTTCATTTTGGTCAGTTAAAGGAGGACATCAGAAGTCACAAGCCATATAATATTATAATGTTCTGTCTCATTAATTAAGAAGACAAATCAGGCAGGGGACGGTTCAGACGAGCTTCGCAGAGATGAGACCACGCAGCAATCTTAATAATAGGCTTCTGAATTTGGATAAAGCAGACTTGTCATCTTTCTCTGAGCAGCGCAAAAACGAACACTCTGCTGGTGCTGTCAAGACTTCTAATGATACCCAAGATAAGACTTTACTTTTTTTGAATATCCGACTTCTGATAGAGGTGAATCATGTGGATATGTAGTCTTTACGTCTCCTATTTTTGTTCCAGTGGGGCCAACAAAGAAAAAAATTCAACCGGGTTCACTAATAACTCGGGGACGTATATGTTGCTCCTTTTATATCACTCCCCATTGAATTGGATTATATTTGGCAATGGCGACGAATTTCAAAGGTGGGTGGTGCCAAATGAAATATGCCATGATGAAAAACTTGTGGAATGAATTGCACCTGCAATATCCAAATCCTCAACCAACCCCGCAATATTTCAATTTCCATCTATATCCGTTGTATATACAACTTTGAATGAAGTGTAGCAACAGCCGGCGACTGCTTTACTCCTGTTGGTGTCATCCTATTTATTTATTATGTACACAGAGAGAGGAAGATAAGGAGCTAGCAGGACTAAAACACAGAGGAAAATGCACTATGTACTGGTGCATGGATCTTGCCATGGCGCTTGGTGTTGGTGCAAGCTCAAGCCACGTCTCCAATCGGCAGGCCACCGCGTCTCAGTGCTGGATCTTGCAGCCTCCGGCATCCACCCTTCTGAAATTCAAGATCTTCGCTCCTTGTCCGATTATTCTCAGCCTTTGATAAATTAAGCTGTTGGCCTCTCTCCCTTCCTCCTGACGACAAAGTGGTTCTCGTCGGGCACAGCTATGCCGGCCTGAACTTAGCTCTCTCCCTCGACCTCGTCCCACACAAGGTAGCCCTTGCTATTTTCTTGACTGCCTTCCTCCCAGACACCCGTCACAGACCTTCCTATGTCTTGGAAAAGGCACGCTTCTCACATTTCAGATTTCGTTTCTCGGCACAACATAGTCAATGATTTTAAGGTTTTGTGTTTCTCTGTCGACAGTTTCTGGGGACATAGTCAATGATTTTAAGGTTTTGTGTTTCTCCGTCGACAGTTTCTGGGGAGGATCCCGACCGGTGCAGGATGGTTAGACACAGAATTCTCTAATCATGGGACCTTAACAACTCTCTTGTTTATTCGATCCCAAGTAAGAGTCCTCCCGTCTCTGTCAACTCCGCTCCCCAGAGGTACTGATCTCGGAGCTGCTTCCTGATCCTAACCTTCCGTCTCATCCACTTTTCTCACATGCTCATCACATACTGGTACTAAGGAAGAAATTGGCTGAGGCATTGATGAGGCCGGCGTCCTATTTCGTGGACGACCAGTCTAAAGCCAACAACTTCTCTCGAGAGGGATACGGGTCGGTTCCACGTGTTTTCATTACTGGCAATGAGGACTGGGCAATCACAATGGAGTTTCGGCAATGGATGATCCAAAATGCTGGGGTTAATGACGTTCTGGAACTCACAGACGCAGATCACATGGCTATGCTTTCTGAGCCTCAAGAACTGTGTAGCTCTCCAGCAGGCTGCTTCCAACTATGCTTAATTAGATGAATTCATGTGGCTTGCTTGTTCTTATTTCCTACGCTTCTGTTTATCAGCTTCTCTCACTCAAGACCTGCAGGTGACATGATCAATAAATTAATTAGATTTTCGGGTTATAATTAATATCAATACCAACATTGTTGGTCGGTCGGTCAAAATAACTACTCCTCCGGTCCTTAATATAAGACCCATTTAACTAATTTGATTAAATTAAAGAAGTTAGGTAAGTTAGTTAATTATAAGAAAAGTGACACATTTTTCCTAAAATACCATAATCATCTTTCTTAATACCCCTCTCCTTTTACTTGATTATGGTTGAGGGAGTATCCATAGGGGTAATTTAGAGAAAATTGATAAATATGAGAAATGAGTCTTATATTTAGAACCAAAACTAACTCAACAATTGGGTCCTATATTAAGGACCGGAAGAGTATATAAATATCATTTATCAATAAAAATTATGGCCAACGGTTGCATGAGGCCCATTTCTATTTGGAGGCCTAGAAATGTCTGAATATCACATTAAATCTAGCGCACTCTGGGCCTAAATCCATAATGGAGAAGGATTCTGGACTTACAAAGCCTGCAGTTTAATCAGCCGGCAACACTAGGCGACACAAAGACAGCTAATTCGTGGCCCACTGGTGATTGGTAATATTAGGAAACTTTACAACTATGGCATTTGCCGAGGGGGAATAAAATAGTTGGGGTATAGGCATAAATGATGATTAACGCTAACAGACTGGCTGTCCATAGTCCCTTAATTAGCGTGATCTTCAAATAAATTTGAATTTTTAAATAAATACAATGAGCGGAACTAGTTTGGGTTGCTCATCATAAAGTTATGATATCTGCACAGTTTATATTTAAAATTTTTAATTATTTATTTTTAAATAGATATAATTATATTTTTTACAAAATGATAATTAAGATATTGTCTTTATTTTAGATTTTATACTTATTAAGATAATTATTTAAAAAATAAAAAATCAAATTTGGACTGTCAAAGTCAGATATGAATAATTTAAACCTGATGAGTTTTGACTTTTGAGTGCTCATCAAAGTGATGGACATCCAAACTAGTTCCATATAAACATATAAATATATTACACACGCGCATGATTGTTAAATGAAACCAAATTTGAGGGATTTGCAGCATTTATTTTCTCGAGAGGGGGAAAAACAACATATACAGGGATCATAAATTACCAAGCCCATGTGAGATTTGGGAGAAAATAACGAGAAGATCTGACAAAAGGGCCCCTCTTCGGGCACCGACTAGTTAGATAAAACTAACCTCCATCACACACTTCAGTTTCAGTATTCTGCAGCTGCCCATGAGTGCAATAATTACTACTAATGAGTGTGTAAATTAGTGTCAATGTCATTGAAATACTGTCCGGGCCATGATTTGATTTTTGAATATGCATTTGCCGTGTCCATAAAAGTCTGCCCTTTCTTGCCTGGGAGGGGGATTAATTGAGGCTTGGAGTCATGTCCTTTTCATCCACCACATAACACACAACTCAAGGATCTCAACCATGTATTAATTGTTGCCTTTCTTGTCTTCTTACGTTTCAATATAATTTAACTTCCCCATAATAGAAGTTCAAATCGCCAGAGCATGCAAACACAAGCGAAGATGAATTGAAAAAAACCTCGCGTATGCATGATCAGAGACTAACTAATTACGTATAGATGTACGAACTTGGTTATTATCAGTAATCCTTCATCATAGGCTTCTGAATTTGGCTAAAGCCGATATATCATCCCTCAGATTATAGACTCTATCATACACAAGATATATGTATAATGACTTTTTAATTCTTTCGAACAACCACCTTTGAATAACACAGAAATGGATCACATGGACACGTAGACTTTACGCGTGTGGTATTGTTTCAGTGAAGTGATGAATTGTTTGGTTTTCATTAAAAAGTCATCCTGATGGTTCAATAATAACACTGAGACGTACGCTTGTACACTTGTCTGCTTTTTCTTAAAAATCCTTCCTGGGTACAGAGGGATTTCACGAATTTACGCTGGAGGTTAGCAAAACGTATGGGTCAGTTCCATGCACGACGAAGAGACACTTGGGTTGAAGGAGTTGCACCTGCAGTAATCCAAATACTCAACAACAAAGCAATGTTTAATCTGCATCTATCATTAAAATTAATGAATTTAAAACTGTTTTGGTGTCCACGTCATCTTATTCATTTATTCAGAATGTATAGGAAATAAATTCACAATTACATAATAATATCGTAATATATGAAGTTTGTAATAAAATAATGTCATATATAGTGGGTTTTTCTAAGGGTCATTTTTCAAATTTATAATTTTTTAGCACCTTTTTGGTTAGGTTCAGAGCAGGTTTTCAGAAAACAATGGTTTCGATTCTCAGTCTAATTTTGAGTTTCGACTTAATGACAAGTCAAGTCGAATCCGACCTAATTATAAAACTATTTTTTTGGTATTAAGATAAACCGTTAACGAGTCTAGCTTGATGGCATACTATAATCATATAGTTTGTTCGGATTCTTAAATCTTAAATTATAGGGTCCAAGCTCAAGCCATGTCGCCAATCGGGCGGCCACCTTTCTTTTTTGCTTGTTCCCTCTCTGGCTATGACCCGCCATGCACCAATATCCATTAACGTCTTCCAAAATCCCCCAACTCCATTGCGTATTCACACTACGGGTTCAAAGTCCTGCAATGCTGGGGATCGAGTCCTAAGGCACTCCTGCCGTCTGCTGATTTCAGGAGACAGACCACATTGGACCCACAAAACCCTTTCCGTTTCCTACTTTAATTTGCCTTGTCCCTATCCATTCTGCCAGTTTCCCTTGGACTTTTATAAATCATTACGGAATTTCTCCCTCTTCTTGCTTTTGATTCACTAATTAAGTAGCCTTAAAATCTCACCCGCTTCTTCTTTATATCTTCTCGATCTCTCCCTATGTATAGGGCGCGCAAGGATCCAGGAAGAGCAAGACCAAACTAAAATGGGTCCAGAAAAGATGGAGAAGAAGCATTATGTCCTGGTGCATGGTGCTTGCCATGGAGCATGGTGCTGGTTCAAGCTGAAACCACGTCTCGAATCCGCCGGCCACCGTGTGTCGGTGCTGGACCTGGCGGCTTCCGGCATCCACCCCGCCAAAATTGAAGATCTTGCTACTATCTCTGATTACTCTGAGCCCCTGTTCAAGTTGTTGGCCTCCCTCCCTCCCAATGAAAAGGTGGCTCTTGTGGGACATAGTTCGGGAGGATTGAATTTGGCCGTCGCCATTGACCGATTCCCAGACAAGGTATCTCTGGCTGTTTTCTTGACTGCTTTCATGCCCGATACCCGTCACAAACCGTCCTATGTCCTGGAACAGGTATGGTTCTTTCTCATCCTCAACCTAAAACTAGACCGGTTAACGTATCCTGCATTGAAAATTGAATGTGTTCGTTCACGTTCGTCTTGGATTAGACTTCTGTTTATGAAACAGTACATGGAGAGGACGCCAGCCGAAGGATGGATGGACACACAATTCCGTGATTGTGGAAGCACAACCACCATGTTGTTTGGACCCCAGTTCTTGTCCTCCAAGCTCTATCAACTCTCCCCCACGGAGGTATTATCTTTCTGCTTCTTTTTGTGCACAAGAGGATACTCTGTAGCTTTCTCTCTTCCCCCCTCCTCTAGGAGAATGGAAGCAAATTTCCAAAAGTGAAAACAAGACTGGAATTTAGGTTAGAATTGTACGTTGATGGATTTTTATATTAGAGGGAATTAAATTTTGCAGGATCTTGAATTGGCCAAGACGTTGATTAGGCCGGGGTCCCTGTTCGTGGACGACTTGTCTAAAGCCAACAACTTCTCTCAGGAAGGATACGGGTTGGTTCCACGTGCTTTCATTGCTTGCAATCAGGACCAGGCAATCACAATGGAGTTTCGGCAGTGGATGATCCAAAACGCTGGGGTTGATGAGGTTCTGGAAATCAGAGACGCAGATCACATGGCTATGCTTTCTAAGCCTCAAGAACTCTGTGACGCTCTCCTGCAAGCTGCTTCCAACTATGCTTGATTACATGAATTCATGTGGCTTCCTTTTTTCTTATTTCCTACGTTTCTGTTTGCTTTATCAACTTCGGCAGGAGACGTCAGTTAAATTAATTGGATTTTCGTTCTGTAATTAATCAGTACAAATTATGGCCCAACGGTTCCCTCGTTTCTGAGCCGAATCGTGTTTTTTTTTTTGGGAAAATATCGATTTTAATTTGATTCTTTTATAATTGCTGCATGAGGCCCATTTTTATCTGGAGGCCTAGAAAAGTCTGAATATCACATCAAATCTCGCATATCTCTGGGCCTGAATCCATGATGGACTCTGAATTTTTAAGCTAAAGAAAGTAAGTAGGCCACACTTGTACTAAAAAAGTAAAAAAGAGTAAGTAGGCCACGCACGGGCGAATACTGGAAATCGTTAATAACATCTGATATTAACAAAAACAATTTAAATTTAAAAAATAATATGATCAACATTTTAAAAATTGAATTTGAAAAAAAATAAAAATTAATTTTTAACGATCTTCTCTATCGTATTAATTTAATTAATAACATCCGATATGATAGTAACAATAATACAGTAGTAGTAAGATGCAGAGTGAAGAGTTTATAAGAGAGAAAAATTATAGAGTAAATACTTCTCGGATCTTATTTATAAAGTAGTGGAATTCGCTGCGCCTTCAAATAAAATTCAAACCCTTAGAGCGCCGCATATAAATTTAAAAAATGTGTTGTCATTTGTGTTCGGGGATTGCGTGTCGGTTTTTTTTTTCCTTGTTTTTCTTTTAATTTTCAATTTATTACATATCACGTGAATCCTTTATGTCAAATGGCTGCACGATATGTCAATTTTCATTTCTCAGTAGCAGCTATAGATCTACACAACATCATTCAGATTTTAATTGTTTCTATTTTATTTTACTTGATTGTGAATTGTGATTTTTCAAATAGTCAGAATTTAACATATGATTTCTTTTTCGTATTCTGAATCTTTAAAGGATAAAAAAAAAACCCCATTATATAACAATTTAAAACCGCTTAGCCCGGTGGACATGTAACATATTCTGTGTTGCTCACCCGTGTTCTTGTTTATTGTTTGATTAAACAAGAGATATTACTTCCTCTAAAGAGACAAATAATTGAGGGATGGTGACGGGCTGCCACTACCAGATCTTTGCGCATGAACCTCATCCTCTTTGAAAACGAAATCCAATTTCAATTCTTTTTCAAATCTGTGGCTTCTATTGGGCGCGCATCCAAAATTATCCACCATTTAACCAAATCTTATCCTTTCAATAACCTTTTCATGGCAATGACTGACGGGTCCTTCTTTCCCTTTCTATTACTGTGCTTCCTTTAGTATTATTCACAATATGCTGTGGTCAATTCATCAGAATTAAAAAGTTAGAACTCAGTTTAAACAAACTTCCCACTCTTTCTATGCTCTGCTATTTTCGATTCGCTATATAAAGGTGTCGGTCAACCCAGTTGAACATTGAGTCAAGGTCTCACTAGCCCAATATATGTAGTTATATTTATGTGTTTGTGTATGGACTACCATATACATTTATACACCTATCTATTTATACTATTTAATTAATTTTCATTGATTTTTTATATTGTTTTTGTTCATACTCATAAATCATGTCACTTATCTACCCACCATCAATAAATTCTGCTGTCGTATGCTCCTTTCATTTTAACAGAGAAAAATGCATTCAGTTGTTGGCCACTTTATGTCACTTATGCGCATTCAGCTGTTGGCCACTTTTATACACACACATATATATATATATATATATATGTATATGAAAATATATCCATTCTGCTAACTTCCGTTGACTTTTGTGAATTATTGCGGAAATTTTCTCTCTCATTTTGTCCGCCTTCGCCAGGTAGCCTTCAAATCTGACCCGCTTCTTCTTTATATCCTCCTGATCCTTCTACCTAAAGAGCGACGAAGTAGCCAGGAAGGGCACAATACCAAACTAAAACGTGTCCACAAAAGATGGAGAAAAAGCATTATGTCCTGGTGCATGGTGCTTGCCATGGAGCATGGAGTTGGTACAAGCTCAAGCCACGTCTCGAATCCGCCGGCCACCTCGTCTCGGTGCTGGACATGGCGGCTTCCGGCATCCACCCCGCTAAAATTGAAGATCTCGCTTCTATGTCCGATTACTCTGAGCCCTTGCTGAAGTTCTTGGCCTCCCTCCCTCCCAATGAAAAGGTCGTTCTTGTGGGACATAGCTTGGCAGGCTTGAACTTGGCCGTCGCCATTGACCGATTCCCGGACAAGGTATCTCTGGCTGTTTTCCTGGCCGCTTTCATGCCCGATACCCAACATAAACCATCCTATGTCCTGGAACAGGTATGTTTCTCGCTCATCCTCAACACCAAATAATTAATAATCTGCCGCTTTACAACACACACGTTAACGAACGACCTGTTGAAAATCGAATGCTGCTTTCTCGTTCGTCTTGGATTGGATTGGACTTTTGTTCATGAAACAGTACAATGAGAGGATGCCGGCCGAAGAATGGATGGACACACAATTTCGTCAACGTGGAAGCATAACCACCATGTTTTTTGGACCCCAGTTCTTGTCCTCCAAGCTCTATCAACTCTCTCCCACGGAGGTATCTTTCTTTCTGCTTGTTTTAATTTAGAGTACAAGAGGATACTCTGTAGCTTTCTTTTTCCCCCACTTCCAGGATAATGGGATCAAATTTCCAAAAGTGAAATCAAGGCTGCATATTAGGCTAGAATTGTCCGTTGATGGATCTTTATGTTGGAGGGAATTAAATTTTGCAGGATCTTGAATTGGCCAAGGCGTTGATTAGGCCGGGATCCCTATTCGTGGAGGACTTGTCTAAAGCGAACAACTTCTCTGAGGAGGGATACGGCTCGGTTCCATGTGGTTACATTGTTTGCGATGAGGACGAGGGGATTCCGTTGAAATTTCAGCAATGGATGATCCAGAACTTTGGGGTTGATGAGACTGTGGAAATCAAAGGCGCAGATCATATGGCCATGCTTTCCAAGCCTCAAGAACTGTGCCATGCCCTCCTGGCTATCGCTTCCAAGTATGATTAGATTTGTTAATGTCGTTGCTGTGTGAGTACTTTCGTATTCGTTTCTCTTTTCGAAGTTTCTCGGTGGAGGCAATAAGAGTGGTCAATAAAGTGAGGTTTCCGGCTTTCCGCAAACTTGGAACTAGAAGAAACGGTCTCTGACTTGGATTCTGTTTCTGCATGATTTTCTTTTCGCACGCACGAGAGAGAGGAAGAAGTATCTTGATAGACCATAATCTTCTGGTTTTGTTTACATGCAAGTCATTTTTAACATATTTTATACGAATTAAAAAAAATCTTAAATTTTATTTATTATGCATTAAATTTTATAAAATGACTCATAAATAGGACAAAACCTATTCTATTTTTATTTTATAATATCTCATGTCCTTAATATGAAAGTTAATTTAACATTCAATTTGATTCTAAATATAAGACGACTCTAATTTAATTTATTTCTCATATTTATTTTTTTAAAAGTAGCCATTGTATTGGCTGAACATATTAAAAGTTCAATTAAATAGTAGTTTTAGCTAATATACATAATTAGTAAGAATATTCTAAGCAAGATAACATATATTCATTATAAGTAACTAATTTAACAAAATTTTTTAATATACTTAAACTAGTACTCCTCCGGTCCTAAATATAAGACTCTTTTTATAGTGTAATTTACACTACAAAGAGAGTCTTGTATTTAAGACTGGAGGAATAATTAGGACTAAAAGAGTTATTGGATCCTTTATCCTATCATGTCATGAATATAAATGCCGGTAAAAGGATTTATTTTATTAGATATAAAATCTTGATGCAGTTTATCTTTAATTTTATAATTTGTTAAAATTATCTTATTAGCCACACATATTAAATAAATTTTCTACCAAGTGAGTAATTTCTTATATAAATAATTAAAATAAATATTTTAGAAAATCAACACGTTTTTTTTTTATAAATAATAACTAATTTATTCAACCTTACATTTAGGGCAGTAATAATCTGGATGGCATATGAGTTTTCAAGTCATAGATCCGCGAGATTTAAATCCACAGGCCATGATGGGTTTCTTTATCAAAAGAAAGCTGGGACGAGTTACTAAGAGTTGATAACATAGGTAGGATCATAAAAAACCCGGGACCAGGAAAAATATGGTTGGTTGGAAGAGATGGTGGGAGGAGGCCGGGTAAACTACAAGTAAGTGGAGGCTATGTGTTGGAGGTGTGAAGAAAGGTGTGAAGGATTGGAGAACATGATCATGTGAGCAGAGGCAGAGACGAAGACGTTGACGTGTTGAGCGTTTGGGTGTTTCTGAACCGTCCACTTCTAAAACTCTGCCTTCAGTGCTTTGTCTTCCTCGCACACTGCCTACACAGTAGCAATGCTTCCAACCTTATCTTTTGTCACTTTGGCTTGGCATGCCAACACTTCTTCGTCCCCGCACAGCCGAGTGGCTCTCACCAGTGTCGTCGTCAGGCTCAAGTCCTGCTCCCACATCAGTCGTCCCATCCATTAATGCCATTGATATATATATGTTTCTTCATCATAAACCAATCATTCGCATCATGAAAAACAAACACTACTACAGTGCTGTTAACAAATTTTACATGAACATGATAGGGGAGAGAGGTTGCGAGCTGATCAGGTCATGGCTGACAGCGAAAGGCCACTTCCACTTCAACCTTTCGCTGGTGGCTGTGGGGCATTGAGGGTGCAACCAAAATGATTAGTAGAGAACAATGGCACAGTGATTTTAATTATTACGAATATACTAGTATTAAATAACATAATGCTAATTACTCTCCTGCCAGACCAAAGTGGTGACCCAAAACTTCATGACGAATGATGTGATGAGGGGAAAAGTTAAATTCGAAGTGGTCTTAATTACTGATCAAGGGAATCAAGCTTAATGTATCCATTATCCATTAGGCTTCCATCTTTTGCTCTGCGAGAGATTTTACAATGGGCCCATTGACCAATAAAGTAATGGGTCAATTTGTTTTGTGGGCTTCATATATTCATGTACTGGACGGGCTTTATAACAGATCTTCAAGCTTGTTAAATTGTATAGTGATACCAACGGAGTTATTAATTACTCTCCCGGTCACTAGTAGTTAGAATTTAACATATGATTTCTTTTTTGTACTCTGAATCTTTAAAGGATGAAAAAGAAAACCCATTATATAACTATTTTAAACCGCTTAACTCGGTGGACGCGTAACATATTCTGTGTTGGTCAGCCATGTTCTTGTTTATTGCTTGAAGCCCAACATAATCCGAAGATCTCTGTGGGGCTAAAAGTGAGCATTTGTTGGTTGAATTAGAGCTTGTTTATGAAATATATTTACGTAAATTAAGATAAAATTATACTCGAAGGATTATCAAGATTAGTAAATATACAGGCGCAAGACGTGATCATCTTTGATTGGAGGTGGGAGCGCGGTGGCCGTTGTCATGTTAGGAGGAAGTGGTTTCAGTGGATTTAGGAACTTGCTCCGGATTTATGAAGGATGAAGCCAACAAGTCAACAGGAGTTAGCGGGTCTCATATGTCAGCCAGCCGCCTTCCTTGAGTTTGTGTCCATGTGCTTCATGCGTTTAAATTGAGTTTTTTTTAGAAGTGATTTTATACCATTGAAGATAAGTATGCAAAAAAAATCTTGTTTCGATTTATATAAAAAAAATTTTAAAATATTTTTAAGGTTTTCAGACTCCCCTAACGTGTGCTTTAAACCCCTCTTCTTTGCCTTATTCTCAAAAACTGAAAACTTATACCATTTTGATTTAATATGCTAACAGCATTAAACATATAGATATATACACATATCTTTAAAAATTAATTTCAGATTGATTTATGTGTTATTTAGGATGATTTCCTTTCCTTTATCATTTCCTGAATTGAACCGCACTCTCGGATTCACAGTGACGGGGAGTGGCTCATATCCTGGCTTCACACACAAATCGCGCTGCAAGGATTCAGTAGTATGTTTACTCGTGGAGATAAGCCAGTAATTAAACACTAAACAAGCGATATTACTTTCTCTAGACAGACAAATAATTGAGGGATGCTGATGCGGTGCCAGTACCAGATCTCTGGGCATGAACCACGTCCTCATTGAAAACGAAATCCAGTTCCCTTCCATATCTGCGGAGCCTTGTATCCAAAAATAAAAAAAACAAAAAAAAAACCTATGGCGTCTATTGGACGCGCAGGAAACCAAATCTTATCATTTCAATAAGCTTTTCAGGGCAATGACCGGCGCGTCCGCATTCCGTGCTCAGCATTCAAAGCGCCATTTGGGCGCTGAGCGGGACCCAAGGTTTTTTTTGGTTGCTTTTTCCCCTTTTTACTGTTCATATTAAAAAATATACATGCATGAAAATTATTTTTGGTTTAAGCTTCAAAGTATTTTTTTTTCAGGTATATTTATTATTCCAAAATATTGTGTTTTATCTAACACGCTGAACAATTTTTTTTCTAGATTTACCCCACATTTTAAAGTATTTTCTTTTATAATTATCCAACATTCTAAATTATTTTCCAGGCAAGTTCAGCATTCTAGAAATATTTTTTGATTCATCCATCACTGTGAAATATCTTGTCGCATCTAGTGTCCTAAAATTTTTTGTAATTTATCCAGTGCTTTAAAATGTTTTTCAGATACATCAGTATTTTTACTGAATTCACATAAAAGAATATTTTAGAACATTGGATGAAACTTAAACCAAAAATAAATTTAATATATATTACTTTCGATCTTTAATAAGAGTTAGATAACTAATTTGAGTATATTAAAAAACTAGTTAAATTAGTTATTATAATAAATAGGTATTTTTTTAAAATATTTTTACTAATTAAATGTATTGGCTGAAACTACCATTATTACAATGATTATTTTGAAAAAATAAATAAAAATAAAAATAAAATAAATAAAATCTTATTATGAAAATCAAAATAAAAACTAAATAAACTCTTATATTAAGAATTAGAAATAATATTTTTTTGTGATGAACAAAGAAAAAAAAAAAACAAAAACAAAAAAGTAAGGCCTCGCACCGGTCAGCACTCACAACCCCCGGCGTTGTGAGTGCTGAGCACGGAACGTGGTCCATGACTGACAGGTCCTTCTCTGTGCGTCCTTTAGTCTTGTTTACAATAATTCACAGGGATTAAAAAGTCAGGACAAAATTTAAACCAAACTTCCCACTCTTTCCACGCTCTACTAAGGTCCTTCTCTGTGCGTCCTTTAGTCTCTGTGTGTGTGTGGGGTGTATGGACCACCGTATACATTTATATATTTATCTCTTTATATTATTTAATTAATTTTGATTATTTTTTATTTTTTTTTTTGGTTCATACTCATAAGTCATGTCACTTGTCTACCCACCATCCATACATTCTGCTGTCGTATACTCCTTTCATTCTGATAGAGAAGCACACGTAAGTCCATTCAGCTGTTGGCCAGGGTCAAGGTGCGCTCAGCAGCTTGAAATATTTACCTAGTCTATTTACCTAGTGTTCTAAATTATTGCGGAAATTTTCTCTCTCATTTTGTCCCCCTTCGCCAAGTGGCCTTCAAATCTGACCCGCTTCTTCTCTATATCCTCTTGATCCTTCAACATAAAGAGCGAGGAAGTAGCCAGGAGGGGCACAATACCAAACTAAAATGTGTCCAGAAAACATGGAGAAAAAGCATTATGTCCTGGTGCATGGTGCTTGCCATGGAGCATGGAGTTGGTACAAGCTCAAGCCACGTCTCGAATCCGCCGGCCACCTCGTCTCGGTGCTGGACATGGCGGCTTCCGGCATCCACCCCGCCAAAATTGAAGATCTCGCTTCTATGTCCGATTACTCTGAGCCCTTGCTGAAGTTGTTGGCCTCCCTCCCTCCCAATGAAAAGGTCGTTCTTGTGGGTCATAGCTTTGCAGGCATGAACTTGGCCGTCGCCATTGACCGATTCCCGGACAAGGTATCTCTGGCTGTTTTTTTGGCCGCTTTCATGCCCGATACACAACATAAACCATCCTATGTCCTGGAACAGGTATGTTTCTCGCTCATCCTCAACACCAAATAATTAATAATCTGCCGCTTTACAGCACACACGTTAACGCAAGTCCTGTTGAAAATCGAATGCTGCTTTCTCGTTCGTCCTGGATTGGATTGGACTTTTGTTCATGAAACAGTACAATGAGAGGACGCCGGCCGAAGAATGGACGGACATAAAATTTCGTCAATGCGGAAGCATAACCACCCTGTTGTTTGGACCCGAGTCCTTGTCCTCCAAGATCTATCAACTCTCTCCCACGGAGGTATCTTTCTTTCTGCTTGTATTAATTTAGTGCACAAGAGGCCCCAACTTCCAGGATAATGGAAGCAAATTTCCGAAAGTGAAATCCACGCTGCACGTTAGGCTAGAATTGTGCGTTGATGGATTTTTGTGTTAGAGGGAATTAAATTTTGCAGGATCTTGAATTGGCCAAGGCGTTGATTAGGCCGGGCTCCCTATTTCTGGAGGACTTGTCCAAAGTGAACAACTTCTCTGAGGAGGGATACGGCTCGGTTCCACGTGGTTACATTGTTTGCGATGAGGACAAGTTGATTCCGTTGAAATTTCAGCAATGGATGATCCAGAACTTTGGGGTTGATGAGACTGTGGAAATCAAAGGCGCAGATCATATGGCCATGCTTTCCAAGCCTCAAGAACTGTGCCATGCCGGATTTGCATTGGGTGCTCATCAGGTGATGAGCACCCAATGCTCATCACCCATCTGGACGGTCCAGATCAGATCTGGACGGTCCAGATTTATTTTTATTTTTTTAAAAATAATTATTTTAATAGGTATAAGATAAAAAATAAAGATAATCTCATAACTATCATTTTTTAAAAATATAATTTTTTCTATTTTAAAATAATTATTTAATGATATTAAATTTGGACCGTCCACATTAAATCTGAACGGTCCAGATTGCTCGTCAGGTGATGAGCATTGGGTGCTCATCACCTGATGAGCACCAAATGGGAACCCGTGCCATGCCCTCCTGGCTATCGCTTCAAAGTATGATTAGATTTATTAATGTCGTTGCTGTGTGAGTACTTTCGTTTTTGTTTTTCTTTTCGAAGTTTCTCGGTGGCGGCAATAAGAGTGGTCAGTAAAGTGGGGTTTCGGGCTTTCCGCAAACTTGGAATTAGAAGAAACGGTCTCTGACTTGGATTCTGTTTCTGCTTGATTTTCTATTTCGCACGCACGAGAGAGAGGAAGAAATATCTTGATCCAAAATATAGGCCATACCCTCTGGTTTTGTTTATATATAAGTCATGTTTTATATGAATTAAGAAAAATTTTAAATTTTATTTATTATGCATTGAAATTCAACAGTTTTCTAATTTTATTTTTATTTAATATTTATTATTATTTATAAAAACAAAATCAACATAATAATAAATGAAAAGTAATATTATATATTTACATGAAAAGAAATTTCTTTTTTCTTTATAAATATGATCAAAAAAAGTTCTTCTCTTTTTGCCTAACAAGTAGAGGCAGAGTAGTATCTTGGAATGAATTGCTTTGTGACTTGATGAACTTGCAAGCTTTGTAGTTTTGCATTGGAGAAGAAAGAAGACTCCTAATTCAGTATAGGTGTGATCTGAAATATTGGAGACCAAACTCAGAATTACGATTGGATGATTTGGCCCAAAAAAAATTTCGTACTAATTGTTCTTGATAGCATATCCAAGTTCGGAGCATAGCTTCCCTCTAAATTTATATTTTGCATTATGACCGTCCAGCCTCCTACGTTTAATTTAATAGGTTTAGCCGTTTAGGATGGGTTGTCATCGAGGAAAAAGAAGAGCTCCTTCCTTTTAAATCTTCTACGTGTAAAAAAGGAAGAGAAGAAACAATTTTTAGTTTTTTACTGCTGAGTGCATATTTGAGAAAGTTTAGAATAAATTTGCTCATGTTTTATAAAAAATATTTTCATATGTTTATCTTAAATCACTCTATTTCTATTTATAGACACTTAAATCTCTAGCCTGAAAACAAAAAATACATTAAATTATATTGATTTTTTTCACATTTGCTTTTATTAAGAGAAGCATATTAAAAATATATTTTATATTTCCTATCACCTATTTACTCTATCTTTCTCTTTGTGTTTATTAAATCAACAAATGCAAACTTGAAAAAGGCTTATTAATTATACAACAAATGAGTTATATTTAAAAATAATTTTTTCTAAATGACTTATAAATAGAAATAAAGTAATATTCATATAAAATGATTTAAAATATCAATCCAAACGTCCTCTAATTCTGTTAGAAAACTCAGAAAAGATTTCAGTTTACAGAACTGTTAGGAAAGACTTTTTGTCTTGACTTTTGAATTGGTATCAAAGATAAGAACGAATCAAATCGATGTTCATTTGGCATCTTTCAACCGTCTACGTGCTCTAAGCCTCTAACAGAACACTAACTTTGTCTAGGTGGCACTCCTCAATTAAGTTGTAATTATCAACGTATCCCTCATTACATTTGATCCTTCTCCGTAATACCTGTCTCCTCCGTGTTCGTGACAGGTTCACTAGTGGGCTTCACTCACCAGTGGTAATAAATACTCTTTTTTATTTTATTGATTTACTTTCAACATATTTTATCTCCAAAAAATATAAATATTATTAGTTTTATATTAAAATTTACTTATTTTTTAATTTTATTTTTATTTAATATACACTGGTTGTCATCAAAATAAAGGTTGCACAGTAATAAATGGAAATTAAAATTATATACTGATATAGAAAATGTTATAAAATGACTTGTAAATGGGACAAAACATATTCTATTTTTATTTTATAATATCTCCTGTCTTTAATATAAGAGTTAGTTTAACATTCAATTTGATCCTAAATATAAGACGACTCTAATCCAGTTTATCTCTTATATTTATCTGTTTTTTTAAGTAGTTATTGTATTAGTTGCACATATTAAAAGTTTAATTAAATAATAGTTTTAACTAATACACATGATTAGTAAGGATATTAAAAAAATACATATTTATTACAAGTAACTAACTTGACAAACTTTTTTAATATACTCAAATTAGTAATTATAGGACTAAAAGAGTTTTATTGGATCCTTTATCCTATCATGTCATGAATATAAATAACGCTAAAAGAATTTATTTTAATATTAAATATAAAGTCTTGATGCATTTTATCTTTAAATTTATAATTTGTTAAAATTATCATATTAACCACACATATTAAATACATTTTCTATCAAGTGAGTACTTTCTTATATAAATAATTAAAATAAATATTTTTTCAACCTTACTTTTAGAGCAGTAATAATCTGGACAGCATATAAGTTTTCAAGTCATGGGTCCGAGAGATTAAAATCCACGGGCCATGATGTGTTTCTTTATCAAAACAAAAGGGACGAGTTGCTAAGAATTGATGACAAACTATGGTCGGTGGTAAACTACAGGTAAGCGGAGGCTATGTGTTGGAGGTGCGAAGAAAGGTGTGAAGGATTGGAGAACATGATCATGTGATCAGAAGCAGAGACGAAGACGTTGATGTGTTGAGCATTTGGGTGTTTCCGAACCATCCACTTCTGAAACTCTGCCTTCAGTACTTTGTCTTCCTCGCACACTACGTACACAGTAGCAACGCTTCCAAACTTATCTCTTGTCACTTTGGTTTGGCGTGCCAACACTTCTTCGTCCCCGTAGAGCCGAGTTGGTCTCACCAGTGTCGTCGCCAGGCTCAAGTCCTGCTCCCACATCAATCATCCCATCCATTAATGCCATTGACATATATGTTTGTTCATCATAAACCAATAATTCGCATCATAGACAGGGCAGAGAGGTTGCGAGCTGATCAGGTCATGGCTAACGGCGAAAAGCCACTTCAATGTTTCGCTGGTGGTTGAGGGGCATTGAGGGCGCAAGCAAAATGATTGGCAGAGAATAATGGCGCAGTGATTTTAATGCTTATGAATATAATAGTATTAAATGACATAATGTTAATTACTCTGCTGCTAGATCAAAGTGACGACCCAAAACTTCATGATGAATGATGTGATGAGGGGAAAAGTTAAATTCTAAGTGGCCTTAATTACTGATCAAGGGAATCAAGCTTAATGTATCTGTTATCCATTAGGCTTCCATCTTTTGCTTTGTGCGAGATTTTACAATGGACCCATTGACCTAGAAAGGAATGGGTCGGCTTTGTGCATTAAAAAAATGTTTGAGTGAAATCCAACCGTTTTAGAAGTAATTCTACAGATTTGAAGATAAATATGTGAAAAAAATTGTGCCCACTTACATAAAAATACATTTTAAAAGTGTTTTGAGGATCTCCCAACCCACTCTCTAAATATCAAATATGTACTAGAGAGGCTTTGATAACAGATCTTCGAGGTTCTTAAACTATATAGTGATACCAACGGAGTTATTAATTACTCTCCTGGTCAATATATAATATAAGACATTGGTTAAAAGAAAGTTATGATCCAAAATATAAGACGTTGTTAAGATGCTTAATGTGATTTTTTCCACTTTTATTACTATTAAATATAAGAGAGAGAAGAGAGGTAATAAAAATGTAACATTAAAAGCAACTTTTAACATTTTTATGGATAAAAAAGAAAATTTTATTATCTTAGGACATATTTAATGACTAAACTTTCATTTCTTGCTATGTGAGAAAAGTTAATCAATTTCTTATGTTATGGATAAGAGGGAATACTGGTTAATGTATCTATCAGTTTCATATCTTTGTTATATTTATTTACTATTTCTTCCCCCCTATAATATAAGAAGTTGATTAACTTTTCTCATATACCAAAACGAGAGTTTAGTCATTAAATGTGTGCCTAAAATGATATATATATTTTTTTCTATTTTACCCCTAAAGAAATCACAAAATTATTTTTAATGTTACACTTTTATTATCCTTCATCTCTCTCTTTTCTTTCTCATATTTAATATAGGCAAAAGTGATAAGATCACATTAATTATTTTAGCATGTATTTTGGAATGCAATTTTTTTTTAACCGACATCTTATATTATCGACTGGAGGGAGTAGTTATTACTTAAACTGCCAAGATGGATTGAATTCGATAACTGATTTTCAGAGACATTTCAAATTTGAAATTCATTATAAGTAAATTATAAAATTACGAAAATAACTAAACACATTAGACACTCGGCAACCTTTTTATTATAAGGAAATAATACACCTATCTATCTACGTTTTTTTGATTGTTTTTGTCTCTAAGCCAGACAAAAATGATCAATCATTCAAATCAGTAAATCAATACACCCACACACAAAACGCCGAGCATGAAGCGCCGTACCATTCAAAAGGCATTAGTCTTGAAATTTTCCCAGCTGCTCATACCCACTTCTAAAAAGCTAAATTTATTTGAATCGAAATAATAATGACACATATTAAATATTTAAAAATGTGGTATAGATTTTTGAATTCTGGAGAGAGAAGTGTTTTTTTTCCTCCTACTAGGCACACATATTTTCTTATTGAACATAATTTTGTTTAAGACACGGCGAGGCATTCAGACACCACTCCCAGTGGGCACAGATTTTGAATGCAAAGTTGAAGAATTACCTCAGGAGGGGAGAGGTTGTACAACTTGGATGCCAAAAAATGGGGCCCAAATAAAAGGTGCCCATTTGGATTGGGGCCCTCCTCATAAACAATCTCGGAGTCCATATTGGAATCCAACCTTCGTTGATACTGCCAAATGCCAAATGACATGTGTGACAATCTTTTGTAAACGAAGTAACTCAGTACAATGTTGATGCATGTTAATGCCAGTCGCAATTTGTACCAAAAAGGCAAAAGAATGGAGGGGTTTGGATAAAATCAAAATTATAATTTTAAAAATACTTTTACAATATATAAACTAAACACGTGGAGGAGCTGTCAAACACGCAAAAGGAGAAGTTGAAAACGTAACCAAAATCAACACTCGCTCTCAACCTCGCCTCGCCTTACCTTCACTCCCATGAAGTGGCAAAAACACAACCTAATCTATATTCTATTGCGGTGAGTGATCAAAGAGACAGAGATGGTGGGGGGGAAGGAGGTGACCTCGTGGATAAGAGAGACGGCGCTAAGGTCAGGAGAAGGCATGAAGGCTGCCACGAACACAGCAGCGGCAATCTTGTGGGGGAAGCGTTCCATGGCCACTGATATGCAGAGGCCACCAAAGCTGTGACCCACTAATATCACTCTCTCCTCTGCCTCCATGCGCTCCATCAACTCCATTAAAGGCTCCACATACTCTTCAAACGAACTCAGCTCCTGCACCTGCTTGGGGTGGACACCAGAAGCAGCCAGGTCCAGAGTCGTCACCTTGTGGCCTCCTGATTTCAGAAGAGGGACAACCTTGTACCAACACCATCCCCCATGGCATGATCCGTGAACCAACACAAAGTGCCTCTTCTTCCCCTTTTCCATTATTGCCACTTCTCCTTCTGCCTTCCTTCGCCTTCACCTCTGCTCTCATTATATAGAAGGACAGAAAGAATAATTATTAAACGTTTTACATAGTAGCAATTTTCCAGCTGCCCTGCCCGTCTTTACTAGCCATTGGTCAGCATGCCGTCACGTTTCTTTGGCTTCGACGGCATTCCTTCTTTTTCCATCTCGACTTTTATTACAGATATTCTCTCTCCTATGCAATTTTTTTGTCTTTTTTGTTGTTTTTCCCAGCTAGGGTAATTTATATCGTCCTTTCCCTCTCTCAATCGGCGCATCTTTACTTAGCTTGGTTGGTCTGAAAATACATGGGCATGACCCTAAAAATCCTGAAGAGTTCTGCTAAAACTGTACAAAAATCAAAATATCTGTTAGCGTGGTAATCTCTATTGTTTCGGTGATATTATTCTATCTATAATATTACTCCTATTCACTTTTTATAATAGATTTGATGTATCTTATAATTATAATGGAATCTCCTCAATCCTAGACTAAAATATGAGATAGTTAAGCGGTTTGCATCCCTTCTATACTATGAATTTACATTAGGCGCTCATCAGTTTTGATGAATACTCAATACTCATCAAATCTGAACTGTCTAGATCTGATCTGAACGGTCTATATTTATTTTTATTTTTTAAAAATAATTATTTTAATAGGTATAGGATAAAAAATAAAAATAATCTCTTAACTATAATTTTTTTTCTATTTTAAAATAATTATTTAATAATATTAAATCTAGACCGTTCAGATAGTCCAGATTGCTCATTAGATGATGAGCATTGGATGCTCATCCAATGAGGACCAATATACTATATATGTTTTTGGGGCTAAGGGGCTTTACCCATTTGAAGGCATAGAAGTTTTCACTAGCCTTTTGCTAGTCAAAACCCTTCATAAGTAACTCTTTCCATAAACATTGAGCTCCCAGTAAAAACACAAAAGTCTGATCTCAAAAGACTAACATGAAAAGCTCCTCAAATTTATAAATTACATCACATTTGTGAGACTCCCAATATGAGACTCGTAATAAGAAAATATTATATTTCAATAGGCCAATTGAAATGCTCGTAATATTTAATAAACTTGATAGTTTCTCGGATCTATACAAATTTAACTTAGTATATTATTCATTAATATTTTATTCTTCTATCCCATACAGTAACACCCCAGTCGCTCCAATGCGTGTCAGCTCGCCGGCTACTGGCATCAATGGCACAGCCATTCTTCACAATATTGCCACGTACTCTTTTGGGAAGGGACATACTAACAAATTACCGACATATCCAAGGGAATTTACCGAACAGCAAGTGCGAGTGGGCATTTGTAGCTGCCTCGTTGGGGTGCTCAAGCATTTAACCTTTGTTTGACAAATACCGGCAAAGCTTATCTCAAACCGTTGGTTTTGCTGGTTTTCACTTGCTTAAGGCCGGTTTGACAAGCTTTCTTTCACACTGGTTTACCCTCTACCCTAGAACAAAGTAGAAACCAATTCATCAGTTTTTTTTTTTTTTTATATGGGGAGGGGGGCGCTGAAATATCCGGTCCAGTCTTGGTTTTTGAACATTGTTTATCAGCATTTCCGCATCATCAACATATGTGCGCTAGTCTCGCCAATGAACTTGCAAGGGTTAGATCCTGCATATTAGAAGCAGTGAATTACTTTGACATCAAAGGATATGTAACTACAACGCTGAGGATTGAACTGATCAAATGACTTACCTCAGGTGGGGGGTTAATTGGTTAACTTGGAAAGCCAAGAGGTTAAATATCAATAGCATGGTGGTTGGAGTCTTGTTAGGCACGTCATCATGCATAAAAACTCTGTCCATGTAAGAGTCCGTGTGCTTAAGACACCTACAGAACTGTCCTCTTGAAGTCAGAAGAAATTCTGAGATACATCTCCGGTTGATCATGATTCAAGAACAGGCATGTAAACTGTGTCAGGGAGCTTGAATGCATGTCTTGCAGTTTCCCTGATCACAAGCTCCCTAGGCATCTGAACTGGCCAATTTGTTTAAGAACAATAAATTCATGCAAGGATCGTAAAGGTGACTGACGGAGAGCTCAGAACAGACTGACATGGATCAATAATTCACATACCATACATAGGTACCAGAAGCAGCCAAGTCCAGAGGCGAGGCTCAATGACCTCCATAAAAATTTAAATGACATCGTCCTCTGTGAGTATGCTCCCAATATCTTTCTCTTCTGTTCGTCGGCATCACCTCCCTCTTCATCTTTAGCATCAGTACCCTCCGATCAGGAAACTGATCAAATGTACACAGACTGTAAAGCAATGAACAGCATTTCTGCTATGGCATCTAAAATACACTCAAGCAGCCAACACCACTGTGGTGTAGTGGCACGCTGGTTGCCCTAGGGCATACCAGGTTGCAGCTTCGATCCACCCCGCAAGCATTAGCTTGCGGACTAAAAAAGATTGGGAAAAAAAAAAAACACTTGGCAGAAGAACAGGCCATTTTTACATCCACAAGCATTATAGTCACCATTAACAAGTCAGAAAACCAACCTTTCGCCATCACGATTTTGGGTTAGGATCAGTTTTATGTTGAAATCCTTCTTCCTTGCAGCATAGGTCTTGAAATTTCTTTAAACTGCAAGAAACAACCAAAGAGTAGTATCAATCTTTAGATGCACACATCATCTTTCTCCTAGCCTGATCCCTATGTTGTAAAAATATATCCAATGTTACGCACCATACCGTTTCAAGAGCACTTCAGGATTATATGGAAATAACTTCTTCTGATGAAGATTTCCAATAGAATCTTTCAATGATAGCAAACATTCTTTGGCAGGCTTGCATGGGTTTGTATATAAGGGATTAAAACCATATTCATTTTCTTGCTCGTAATTCTTCACAGGCAATAGGATATCATCCTTGCACTCCATTACAAAAGGTGCAACATCTGCCTCAACCTCTGAGTCATCTCCTTTTGTAACTCTCCTTTTCTTGCTCGATGATCGATTTAACGGTTCTCCAAATGATGTAAATCCCACAAATGACTGCCATGAATTACTTACCAGACTCAAGCACCTATCACGGAACATGTAGAAGATTAAGTGAGAACTTGTCCGGCAGAAAAAGTCAAAAAGCATGATGTCACATTGACGTGTCACCATTAACAAGGCCAAAGGTCAAAAGAAAAGAAAAGAAAACTACATCAAAACTCCAAGGACTGAGGAAAATCCCTTAACTAATAGTTGCCTTTTCCTTATAAAATTCACTTACCATGCACCCTGTGGATTTTGAACCTGAGCTCACCTACATAATGATCTTAAAGGCAAAAGTAATTCATTATACCTTCAAATTTGCACTTTCACCTCAAAATCAGGGGTTGAGATAAATGTTTGAAAAGTGTACATGGGCGACCAAAAGCAAATTCTCCTTCAATTATGCAACGCAAGAGCAAGGAAAAAATCATTAAACAATTATCCTAACCTTGCAACCATCATAAATCAAAACTAGACATGCTCAAATGATTTAGCAGGTTCCTCGTCATCACAACAAGATCTGATAATAGTTCCATGCACCCAACCAGCTCTCAAGCACAAATTCATTCATAATTAAGAATTTTTCCACCATATTAATAAATAGGCAAATGAAAAATACCTTAGAAGATATTTAGCACAGCTAATTCCTGTATCTTTTGAAATGAGGTAATCAAGAAGCACTTGATGGTCATAGTGAATCTGCAGACCAGCAAGCAATGCAAGAGATAATAAGACTATTTTGTCCACTCAAACAATTTGACACAATCAGCACTAGATTAATAGTAACTTGCCTCAGAGAGAAATAGATGGAATAGTTGCACAGGATTGAAAACATCCAACAGACAAAAGGGAAAATCTTTCTTTATGTCATGAAATGCAGTTTCCTTTTTGTCATACCTACATAAATCCAATAACTCATTAGAGGGGATTATTCATGCAGCAGTTCACATGAAAAGGATAAAGTTAAATATAATTGCTTACTGTTGTTGCAAACAAGATGTTGTGCCAAGCAATTGCAATAGCACTTCAAACAAAAGATCATCCTGTCATTTAAGTGAAGAGAGAAGAGTAAAATATACATGTAAAAAAAAAGGTTTAAAAAAAAAACATAAAATGAAAACTAATGTCAAAATGGTTGTGTAATTTTAAAGGAAAATGAGAAAGACTACAAGCTTTGATTGGTGTTCATGCTTGGTAAATAGCATGATCAACTGACATAACTTATCAGCACAAGCAGCGAAACTCCTGCCCTGTTGGATATAAACTTAAAATTTCGGATTCATGATCTTTATGTTAATCAAATATTCTACATGGACCCCCCAAAAATGTAATATAGTTATCTGGTATGGAACAAAATGTTCTTAGGGCAATCACCACATCAGACAAGCTTATAAACATTCTGTAAGTTTAGTACCAAGGGAATGACGAGACAAACCTCCCCAAGATATAGCTGGATGAATGAAGACATGAAGGTTACACATATCTCCAAGTATCTTTCATGATTTAAAGAGAACTCAGTTGGAAGATGTCCTTGGAGCCACTTGTAGAGCTCAAGCAATCCCTTCCTTCTACAGCAAAAATTAGGCTCTGAATCCGACTTATTGGCCAAGCAAGAGTTTAAACCTGAACAAATACAGCGGTCTGCAGGATCTCCCTTTTGAGAGATCAAACTGAAACAGCAATCCAGGAATAGGAATATAGCTTGCCTCTGTAAGTGGCGGGAATGTGTACCACTTACTTCTCCATCAGATAGACTCAACAAAAATGGAGAGCCTTCCAAACATTCATTTTGATCAGATTGAAACTGAGCTAATGGTTGCCACAAGAGTTCTTGAAAGTAATTATGAATGAGTTCCAGCCAAGAAAGAAGGATAGAACAATCCAGACATTTGTATAAACGAAGTCTGATCATTAGAATCTGCATAGTGTAGTAATTGGTTCATAAAAAGATAAAGGTTGAATCATGAAGTCATGACAGACGGGGGAAAAGCATTATGTCCTTAAAACCAGTCCTTGTAAAATTGTTCCTATTCTAAACCCAATAAAAGAGAACTATCTCGTCATGAAATTGAGCACTGAATCAATTGTTCTTTTCTTTTCACTGAAAATTTCCAGAAAATGATAAAATTATTATAAGTAAAAAGCAAATAAGGTTCACCGTGAAAAAACAATTTTTACCATGAATTGGGGAGGCATAAGGAGCAAGGTTAACATCCAGTGGGTCCCACCATCCCACTAAGGTGAAATTTGAAATTGAGATCAATAATTTTATCGAACTATGCAAGCACTAAAATTTACATCATCTTGTTTGCCCCACATCATGAGAAGAAATTTTCATAATAACTGCTGCTTGCCTGCTTGCACATAAATTTGAAGCGACAACAATGATTTATATCTGTATTTATTAAATAAGGGGAAAATATTCCCAGGTAGATGAGCCATACCAGCAGCTTGTGTTTGAAGTACTGAATGATGCATGATTCAGCACTGTCTCCTCTCTTGATGAGACACCACTCAAGAAGTCTGGGCACTAGGTTAACCACTGTGACAAGAAGCTGATGTTCGATTACAGAAGCACCTCCAGTTTCCACGAAATCATTTTGGTCTACCAAAGAACAGAGCAGCTGAAGAAATGTTCCAAGAAATTTGATTCTAGGCTCCATAGCACTGAAATTATCGACATTCAATGGATCCATATAAAAGCTTTTCTTGCTGCCATCAATCAAACAACCCTGAAACTGATGTAATAAATCCCAAGGAACCTTTGAAAGACAAGAACTGACAGAATCATAATACATTTTGACAAGTTCATCATCATAATCCTCCCTCAAATATTTAAATACAGCACGTAACACCTGGTTGATGCCAGCCACAGTAGACCAATCACATCTTTTCAGTTCATAAGGCCTAAATCTAACATCAGACGAATCAAGGTTGTTTTCGGCCCCAGATCTAGCAATTGCCACTTCCCAAAAACGGCACAATAATTGAATAAATTCATTCAAACAGTTTCCCTGCATAACATTAGTAGTTATGATGACGAAGCACAGTCAGAAATAAAAGGTTACCTAGATAGTCATTTTCGCATACCATTGTGAATAGGAACTTAGTAATCAAAGCAAGAGCCTTGACAGCAAGATGTTGGACAAATTGACTCTTGACAGTGAGCAAAATCGTCTGCCAGGAAAAGCAATACAAAATCAGAGGTAAAAAAACGAAAAGGCAAGTTTACCAGCAATATGGCCGGTATTATGCAGGTCAATTTCCAATGATCCCACAAGCAATCAACATTCAATAGCATCTGAATGAGCTGCTGATCACGATTCTCACCATGTTAGTCACAACATTAGACATACAATGATGGGCGGCAGAACGGCGGCTCAACCCACATAGGCTCTCTTCGTTTGGAACAGTTTTCACGACTGTTTCCTCTTCTTTAGAAACAGGTTCTTGCATCCGCAGCTGAATTTTTCTTAAGACCTAACAGGGATATAGTGAATGCTAAGGCATAAAGTTCGTTTGGTAACTTGCTAACGTAACAGTAAGTGGAGAACTGGCATGAAGTTCGTTTGGTAACTTGATAAGGTAACAGTTAGTGGAGAACTGAGAGAGATAAACCTGAGAAAGAGCAACCAGAACTTCCTTTTCCATCTCCTGCTCTTTGCAAATCAAAACTACCACATCTCGCTCCTGAACAACATTAAGCAGATTTAGCCAGTCAGTTATTGCGTGAAAGAAAAGAAAGATGAAACCTTAATGCTGGAGAACAGGGAACCAGACTATGTATGAACGAAAAGACTCATCGATCAGACGGCAGAGCCACAAGAGTTCACCAGAGGTAGACATTTCGAGACTCCACGAGCTGGAGAACCGGAGAGGCGTCGCGGCGAACACTTTGAAGTATATACGGCACTTGTTGTCGTCTTACACGCACAGCGCTGTCGTTTTGCTGAGATACGACTCTTTTTTTTTTTTTTTTTTTGGGGATCGCTTGGGATGTTCCGGACTTGGTAAGTGGCAACGTAACATACAAGTCTGAGTTATTTTTCCTAATTCGGCGGGTATTGTCTGCCGATGCCAGCGCCGTATGAAGCATATTCCCAAACAGCTCTCGTCCTCGTCCAAAGATGCAGAACCATAAGCTCATTGAAGAAGGCGCGTCAACTTCACGCCTTGATGTTAACCACCACCGACATAGGCTTGCAATCACCGTTTCTGTACAACAATATCATTTCCATCTATGCCCGATGTGGCTCACTCAGGGACTCCCAGCAGGTGTTCGACACAATGCCTCACAGGAATCTCGTTTCTTTCAACACGCTTATCGCGGGCTATTCTCGAGTGCCAAACAATGCGACTTTGGCCCTCAGACTTTATAACGAGATGGAAATCAGAGGCCTGAGGCCGAGCAGTTTGACTTTCACGAGCTTACTACAAGCGTCAGCATTGCTGGAAGATGGCTTGGTTGGTTCGTCACTTCATGCCCAAGCTGTGAGGCTTGGTTTACTCAATGAAATTTGCGTCCAAACATCTATGCTGAATATGTACTCAAGTTGCGGGGATATGTATTCCGCAGACTTGGTTTTCGAGGAGATCGCAGATAAAGATGATGTAGCTTGGAATTCTTTGATTGTGGGTAATTTGAAGAATGATAAGGTGCAAGAAAGTCTTCGTCTTTATAGTGAAATGTTGAGGATTGGTTTTACCCCTACAAAGGTTACATATTCTTTGATTTTGAATGCATGTAGCCAACTGAAAGATTATCAATCTGGGCGATCGATTCATGCCCATGTGATTGTTAGGAATGTCTCGGCTGATTTATATCTAGAAAACGCCCTGCTTGACATGTACTGCAATGCAGGTGATACAAATACGGCATATAGGATTTTTTGTAGAATGGAAAACCCAGACTTGGTTTCATGGAATTCAATGATGGCTGGATATTCAGAGAACAAGGACGGGAAGAAAGCCATGCATTTGTTTGTCCACTTGCAGGAAATGTGCTTTCTTAAGCCAGATGAGTACACTTATGCCGCCATTATTTCGGCAACTGGCGCATTCCCATATTCCAATTTTGGAAAACCTCTTCATGCTCTGGTTACCAAAGTAGGATTTGACAGAAGTGTGTTTGTAGGGAGTAATCTTTTGTCTACGTACTTCAAAAACAATGACACTGAAGCTGCTCAAAAAGCATTTTATTCAATCTCACAGAAGGACGCTGTTCTCTGGACGGAGATGATAACGGGTTATTCTAAAGTGGCTGATGCCAGAGGTGCAATTAGATGTTTTTCAGAAATGTATCATGGAGGGTACAAGGTCGACAATTATGTTCTCAGTGGAGTTTTGAGTGCATGTGCTGATCTTGCTATTTTAAGACAAGGCGAAATGATTCATTCCTATGCTGTTAAATTGGGCTATGATACGGACACTTCTGTTTCTGGGAGTCTGGTTGATATGTATGCCAAAAACGGCAGCCTTGAATGTGCACAAGTGGTTTTTTCCCAAGTTTCAAACCCAGATTTGGAGTGTTGGAACGCAATGCTTGGAGGATATAGTCGCCATGGAATGGTTGTGGAGGCATTGAAACTCCTCGAGGAGATTTTGGAACAGGGTCTGATTCCAAATCAAGTGACATTCTTGTCTCTATTGTCTGCTTGCAGCCACAGTAGATCGTTTGAGAAAGCGAAGATCATCTGGAATTATATGGTTAACGTCGGCTTGACTCCTGGGCCTAAGCACTACTCATGCATGGTAACCTTATTGAGTAGAGCAGCATTGCTGGAAGAAGCAGAAGAAATTATCAATAAATCTCCTTATGTTGAAGATAATCTGGAACTTTGGAGAACTCTGTTAAGCTCATGTGTCATGAATGGAAATTTGGAAGTGGGCATTCGTGCTGCCGATGAAGTGTCAAAACTGGATGCAGAACAAGGTCCAACACTAATCTTACTTTCTAATCTGTACGCTGCCGCCGGGAGATGGGCTGATGTTGCAGAAATAAGAAAGAAGTTGAAAGGGTTGATGCTGCAAAAGGAGCCGGGTCTGAGTTGGATTGACGCCAAACACGACATCTCCGTATTCTCTTCAGGAGATCGATCACACCCTAAGATCGTTGAGGTGCAAGCCGAATTGGATGGTCTAAGAATGAATATGGGCAGAACAGAAATTGATGACAGCGAGGCAGGGGAGAGCATGCTTCTCTAGCGTTTGCATGTATATAATACTTCCAATGGTAATGGTTAATGCTTAATATAACAGTTAATTAGCTAATTTGGAAAATTTAAAGAAAAATACTAAATTATTTAATTATAACATATGTTATATGATCTCTTTAAAATATTTATTTGTATCATTAGATTATATATCAATTTATAACTAAAACAAATTAGTTTTAGAAAATGATAAATATAAATACTTTAAAATAATTGAGTAACTTAATTTTTCCAAATTAATCAATTAAGTCTTATATTGAGAACTAGAACTAGTATTTTTTTTTTCTATGATAATGTTTTTTTCCTATCAAAAGAAAAGGAGCTCTGGATATGCATTTCATATGTTTGGTTCTTGTTTTTGTGATAATCATCTTTCAAGTGATTAACATGCGTTTACAGATAAAATGAATGAACTAATTGAATACAGTTAGGAGTTCGACGTACAAAGATCACGTATGCTTTTCCAATAATAAGTATGCCAATTGTGCGCATGAATTTTTAGCTGCACATGATTTTAAGTCTAGATCAATTACATTTTAAAAATTTATCCTCTTTTTAATTATCTGTGCATTCCAATATCATTCAAAAAAGTTGGAAATTCTGGAAGTTCGTTCATAATTTATTCCCTCTCCATATAAAAATTGCGTACAACATAATTTGTAAAATAATTCATCATTGCATTTCATATGCTTACATTTTACAGTGTCGTATAAATGTGTGGCTCTAAAATTAATCGCCAACGAGTAAACGTGATAATCTATCACTAAGGAAAACATTATCAGGTTCCACGCTTTGACACTTTCGGGTGAGTATGAGGCTCAAGATTTACAAGCTCTCGGAAATATGGACATCCAGGGTTAATTAACAGTGCCTGCTAGTCGTTCATGCAATATTGAAAACTTGAAATCTCCGTTAAATGCACGCAAAACAAACTGCCTACCAATTACACAGTACTACAATAGTTTAAAACAAATAAATCATATATCAAGCTCAAGCGGGAACCCAGGAAGAGCAAACTTGAGACTTTCAGAAAAACATGCTTCATGCCAGCAGTGCCAGCAAAACCAATTTTGTCAAGGCAGCTAATGAAATTCAGCTAAACTCAGGTTCACTATTTTTCTTAAGCACTACAAGGCCTAGTCAACAAGTCAGGTGTCCTGAAAAGCTGGGTAGTTAACGAAATGTGATTACAAAAAAATGATCTAGCGTATAACTGTCGATTGTGTTACAGGAAAACGAACCCAATAATACCTTGATGCAAATTGTTTCATGGAAGGACCTGATCGCAAGATGCACTGGTGTCCGTAATCCAGCATCGGCCCCTCAAGATCAATCCAGATTCAAATAAAGCACGGACCATGTCACCGATATTTTCAAGACTAAATGCATATATTTCTTCTGTACTAAAACAGTAGCCTGCCAATTTCATAAGATGACACTTATCATCTTCGAGTAGTTCTGGATTTTGGCCTTGATGATTTCTGCAAGAACATTATGGAGAAGCTCACTCAATATATGAATTCTAACAAGCCACCAATAAAAACATAAACAAAGAGGAAAGCGCAATGCTTAGTTCTATCAAATTGAGCAGGTAGGGTACTATGCAATAGGCTTTGTTATAAATTATAACTGTAATATAGTCTAAGCATAAGCCAAAAAGCCAGAAGTTCACTCACCGATGCCGCCCCAAAGCTTGCCCCTGATCCGGTTGCAGCACCTGAGGAACGAAATATAAGTAAAAATAGCCATATTTAAATTTATTTGACCCTCAACAATGAAATTCTATTTTCCGAGTTAACGTTTTTGTCCATACTCAACATTTAGAAGATCCTATACAAATCAACTCAAGAAGGTACCTGAAGCAAATGGACTCGAAAAGAGTGACCCTCCAGTACTCGTACCAAATGGTGAGGCAGAACTACTGAAAAGAGAGGGAGAGGAAGAAGGAGCAAATAAGGAAGATGAAGAACTAAACGCTGCAGCTTGGGGTGTAGCACTAGATGAACCAAACAAAGAGGGTGGTGGAGCAGAAGTCGTTGGTGTTGTAAACAAAGATGGGGTAGAGGAAGGTGGAACAGAAGATGGTGTGCTAAAAAGTGAAAGGCCACTTCCCGATGAAGATGACGTGGTTGCTGCAGATGTCTGTGTGGCAGTCAACGTCCCTTGAGTTCCTGAGCTGGAAAACAACCCAGCAACTTGTGTTGATGGTTGTGTATTTGCAGGCAAGTGTAGTGTTGGATGAACTCTTTTTGAGGCAGCTTCTTGTCTTGCTGTTTCTCGCCGATCAGCCTCTAAAAAGGGATCATTCACCTCCCCCCAACGACGTTGATCAGCTAGGTAAGCTGATTTCATAGATTCAATGTACTGATGAATACTTTCCGCCTAAGCAAGCATTTAACAACTTGTTAACCATAGAGGGAATATAACAAAATGGGATAGCTCTCTTTGATTTCCATACGATAATTTGATTGAAGCAAAGGAAGAATGAAACGTGCATTAGCTATAAAACTTTATCCAGAGTATACTTTAAATTTGTCCTCGGTTCACTAAAACAAGAGGAAAGCAGTAAATGACGCTGGGTATGGCATTCCCACATGGAGAATAAATTCATAACAACTACATATTTAGACAATCCATTGAATCTAGAACTCAAGAAGCAAGGGAACTCAAATGTTTAAGGACTCCAAGTTCATCGTCAGCACCAAAAATCTACGGATATAAAAGAGTAAATTACTCACACAGCCTAACATAAAGATAAATAATTGAGGTATACCTTTTAGCAAGCAAGATAAAAAATGGTGCCGGGAAGAAAAGGGAAAATCAAGAGGAAAGAAAGGAAGAAAACAATAGATAGTGAGTTTAGATTGAAATCATTTACATTATATTTTAAATATGATATAGGAACAGATAGAGTTGAATTCATGATATCCATGATCAACAGCAATATAATCATCTTTAAATAAAAAAATTGATTTAAAATTTTGTATTAGTCTATCTTTACCTTCGCAGCCACGTGAACAAAAAAGTCATGCACATTTGTCATGACTTTGGGAAGGGATTGCAACAGCGAGGATCTGTTATTAGAACCATTTTTCTCAGAGTCTAAAAGAAGCAGCTGCTCCAACTCTTCAATCCATTGACGGCATTCACCCAGATACTTCTCAAATCTTAAGACTGATTGCTGTAAAAAAGGTGATGGTTTCTTTGGAAGCCCGTAATAAAAATCAAAAACAGGCACTATCGTTGTAGTTGTTGGTTGGCTACTTGAACTAGGTGTTACAGTGGATCCAGGAGTCTGCAAAGGGGCTGTGGCACTTGAAGCACCCCCTCCACTGGGTTGAAGGAACCTTGGACGTAACATCATAAAAGAACGAATAGCAACCTCTGTGTTGCGTAACATATCCTTAACAACAGACATCAATTCGTGCAACAAAGTTTTCTGTCGTTCCATGGCAGTGCTGATTCCCCCAAGTTCCTACCAAACAACATAAAGAAACTGTCATTGTCTCTATCCATGTATAAACAATCATAAAATCAAGAAAAAGGGGACAACTAATTTTTCTAAAAGTTCATCAAGAAAAACAGTTTAGCAATACGTATAAAACAAACAGTTATAAAACACTGTGTACGAATGACTATATCATGAACAGGAAGAAAACTCAAATGCTCCTACATCTTTTGAAGACAGGCTTGCAAGTTTTCCCCGAAGCTTTAATATGGTTCATTTGATTTGTAGAATGGAATGAAGTGGAAAAGGAAATAGAGTGAAAAAAGTGACTTCTTAGATGAGAAATGTCGTATATGTCTTTAGATAAAAATTAATAGTAAAAAGAAATAGATGTTACTAAGTAGTTATTAAAGGGATATAAATAGATATTTCATATCTTGATTGTCATGCTATGGAAAAGTGCTAACCAAACGGTTGCTAAGAGTTGTACCATCTATTGTGTCTAACATTGTTTATGCAGCTGCTAGCTGCTCTACAATTGATTTAGATGACCGAAAAATTACATCAAAATCTCTAAAATCTCTTCCAGTTACTAAGTTATACGCTCAAAGAACTACCACAATTTAACAAGCACAATGAACAAAGCAAACACACATGTCAAGTACCAATTAACTTAGCAACTACTTTTTCCAGTTTTCTGGAGTGAAAAAAAAAACAAAAAAAATCATTTATTTGAAGCACAAAAGACCATGGCGAGGCAAAAACGATGTAAAACGGAGCACGAAAGATAAACGAGTACCTGAACGATGTGGCTCGCATCAAGCTCAAACCCTTCGTTTGAAATTGAAGAATCATAGAGACGACCACACTGATCCAGTCTCTGGCTCTCATCCCTATACTCCAATATCCGCTCCCTGCGTAACAAATGGACAACTAAGCAAAACTGCATGCTAACGAATTTAACATTTTTACGTAAAAAAGAAAAAAAGAAAAAGGGCTGAATTTCTGTGGATTTTTATAAAATCCATGCTTAATATATCATTAACACCGAAGATTACATATTTCCTTCAGAGGCAACTCGTGAGCAGCTATAAGATTAAAATACAATAGCGCAGTAAAGCAGATGATGTTAGAATTGCTAATGTTTCAGCTACCGAGATCCTTGGATAAATTTCACACTTCTGCGGATGCGTGCTGCGGATATAATTAAACTTGATCTAAGCAGGCATCAAATTCCTTCAGAACTAAAGCAAATATGACAATTGAGAAAACCACAACTTGTTTTCTTCCTTCACATTTTAGCGGGAGCTTAAACTTTTGAGAAACCAACAATTGTTAACGTACTCGATCTGAAGCAGAACCTTCTGAGAATCAGGATGAAGATCTGCCCACTTGGTACTATAATTAGCAGGAGTTTTATCGGCAGTGAAGAGAAACAGTTGCTGCTGCTGTTGTTGCGGCTGCGGCTGCTGTTGGAGCTGCAATTGCGGTTGCTGCTGCGGCTGCTGTGGATGGAACAAACTACTCTGCTGTTGCTGCTGCGGGGGCTGAAACAGCGGTTGTTGCTGTGGCGTCGAGAAAAGAGAAAATGACATTATGTTATCTGCTTTCAGAAGGGGTCGTATCTGGTTAGCCGAAGGTCCTTCTTTAAGATTTGAAATCGAAACGAAGAAAACCCCGCTTTAAACCCTAGAGAGAAGGATTCCGGCCTTGAAGGCAAAACACCCGCGAGCCTCCTTTATGAAACTGTAATCGCCAGGGTGCATCAGATACTAATTGCTAATTATTGTTTATGTTCATCGATAATAATAGAGCGTCAGATCACCCTGCCCGGAATTTTTAGAGAAAGGGTCGTGGATAAATTTTTATTGGACTAAATTAATTTTATGGTTTTCAAGAGAATACCACTGGTACGGTCGCGCCTTTCTCTGGTTTATGTTTGTGCTTTTTTCTTGAGCTCTAACATGAGTTATCCTTTAGAAATGTAAAATCGAACAAGTAACTTTTCCTTGAAAAATAGATTAATAAAAACGTTTATAATAAATAATGTGCAATATTTTTGACATTTCAGGGAAAAGATTTGACAATTAGTAGTAACTTGTAAGAAAATTAAAAAATTGTTTAAATTTAAAAGGAGTGTAGTAGTCAACTTATTATTACTATATCGGTCCTTAATATAAAATTTTATTTGATTTTTATTTTGGTCCTAAATGTAAAACCCCAATTCATTTTGCTTATCATATTTATATATTTTTTTTCAAGATAGTCCTTCTAACAATGATAATTCTAGTCAACACACTTAATTAGCAAGGATATTTTACGAAAAATAACACATATTTATTACAAATAACTAACTTAACTCATTTTCTTAATCTCTTCAAATTAGTCAACTAGCTCTTATAATTAAGATAAGAGGTACTACTAACTTTTATCTCTTTTTAAATTACAGAGCCATTAAAATTCTTTTTCTCTTTTTTTTTTTGGGTCAAAGATCCATTAAAATTTATTCATCCCCTCCATCTAATCAATGCAAACGAGGGAAACAGTAAAACCTTTTTCCAATAAAATTCTCCTTATTCTATTCTTTCAGAACTAAACACATCCTATATGTAAAATAAGACACGCTATTCATAATTTATAAATAATGTTACTATATATATAAATACATATAAATTAACCTATGCCTCGAACCACCTCAATATCGTAATAATTTTGTTTATTTGAAGGAACTAATTAAGAGGTTTTTTTTTTTGGGTGAAATAGGAGGTTATTTTTTGTCCTAAGTGTGTCTTGATCCATTTTATTTATCATTTTATCAAACAAACTTATGTAACTCATAAACAAAATATACAATCTTATTAATTACTAGAGTGTTTTGAAGGGGTTATATTAAATTTGTTCGTATTAAATGATTTATTTAATTGTTAATATATCTAAATGAATCAAGTTATATTAAAAATTAGTGTTTGCAAGCGTACACGATACCAGAAAAAATTTATGCTGCGCATGAAAGCCGGTATATATTGATAATTTAGGTGGAGAGTGCAAGATAAGCGCTGTCTAAGAGACTGGGGATTTTTGGCCAAAAAAAAAGAGACTGGGGTTTGAAAATCACAAGGTCGCTGTTCAAGTACTAGCAACTAATTATTGGATCACTGCAGAGTGCAGGTCAAGTTGCAAGGAGAGGATATTGTACGTTGATGATTTGATTGCGAGCTTTAAAAGATCAAACCTGGTCGTTGAACTAAACACCCCCTCTACATGTGCACTGCGTAACGTAACCTTCTTCATCCTTGGCTTCAAAGGCAGATAACTCTGGTCAAATTAGACCAGTTTGGGTTGAACTAATTTTTCTTTTTTTAAAAAAATTAGGTCAACAAAATAAGTTGCTTATATAGTTGAGTTCAGGTTTCAAAGCAAATATTTTTGAAAATTAAATTATATATTTCCAGTTGAGATAAAACTTTGGTTTCACGTACTTTTTTATGAAAGACAGAATGACATAAAGGATAAATATTGTTACATCCCCACTGTATTAGATAATATTATCTCACAGACTTGTAGTGAGATATCAACTTGTACATTAATTTCAATCCACAACAGGTCCATTGCTTGATTTAAATAGTACTAGCTAGGGAAATGATTGCATGCAATAATAAAAGAAGACAAAATTGTAAAACGGCAGGACATATATGCTTGGAGAAACAAGAAAGACAAAAGCATGACAGAAAAATGAAGGGGAAATTAATGAATGGGCGTTGGGGGAACAATGACACTAAAGGTCACGAAGCTGGCGAAGATTCATGGGAGAAATGAATCTGGTGTCTCCGTCGACCAGCTGACCGGCGAGGATCAAGTTGGCAGCCTCACTTGGATGGTATGGATCCCAGAACACATGCTTGTCCCTGTCCGTGCACAAGCTTGACGTCGGCCCACATGGAATTATCCCTGCGTACTGCCCTCCATTTCCACAGCATGCTACACTCGCTGTTCTAAATCCTGCCATCATTATCATCATCATCATCGTCATATATAACTTGTTGATTCATCATTACTATTATATTTTGGCCTTTCACTTCTAAATCCGAGAAGAGAGATTTCATTCTTACCGTATTTCTCATAATTCTGGATGAGTTCCATCACTAGATCGTACACATTGGCAAGCACAAACGTGGCTCCGGGGAGGTTGTCATTTAGTTCGGCAAGCAAATCCTTTAATCGAGCATTGTATTGAACTGCAAGCTTTTCTGCCAAATCCACACACTCATTTTCACCCAGCCGATTTATGGTCTTCTGGTAAGGTATGCACCCAATCGGACCAACGTTGGCCACCACAAATTTCCGAGCATCCAGCTTGTAAAGTCTCTGTCAAATTTATACATTTAACCGGGTTTGGTTAATATATATACATGCATGTGTGCGTATGATGCAATTTGATCAGAGTCTAAGTTAATATGCGCATACAGTGAGTTGAGCTCTGAAGTGATTAATCATATCATCGACGAAAGCATCTGGGCTCTCATTAATTCTTGCTCCAATGGAGACGAATGGGAGAAGGTAATTGTTGAGAAAATCATTTGATCCAACTGTGATGGAGAACATGGATTCCTTCATTATGAAATCTCTTGCCCTTGATTTTCCCAGCAATTTATCTATCTCTTTCCTCGTGATGTTAAAGTAGTCCACCTGAATATCCATTCCCAATCTATTCACCTGGAAAATCAAAGTACGTTTACGTTTAGCCACACGACATGGAATAGTATTCATTATGTATTGCTTTTAGACTTGAAGAGCCCATATCATTTAAGTACTCACAAATATTCCTCCTGTTGCATTCAGAATCCCTCCTCCTCCAGAAGCATAATTCACTCCAGATAGTATAGCTTTGCCAGTTGCATTGGGGGCCAAAAATGGCACAGCATAATTTGATTGCCCCAGTTTCTCTCCTGAAAGTTAAAGAAACCAAATGAAGAGTTCAGAAAGCAGCAGAATACAAACATATATGGCTAGATAAGTAATATATAAGAGAGAGAAATTAATTACCAACAATATCAGCAATGGTTCGTCCGTTGGTGAAGCGGCCGGTGGGATTTCCTCCGGAGGCCTTAAAATCAATTCCATTGGGCGTCATGTTTGCCCTGGACAGAGTTGACAGATAGTTGTTGTTTCCAGCGTCCACCAGGGAGTCCCCAAATATGAAAGAAGCTCCTAAACTATCATTCTTGGCAGCGTCTCCACGATAGCTCAGATTCACAACTAGAACTAGAAACACGACAATCTTGTAATAAAATGTCATCCTGGCCATGCCCTTCGTGCTCCGCAACTTCCTCCTAAATTAAAAAGATCACGAATGCACCAATGCAAGAGCTCAAAACCGATGGAGATACTTATAGTATGAGGAGCCTGCTGTTTTTTTTTTTTTTTAATTGATTATTTTTTCTTCCACGAGAGAAAACTTTATTAATGAGCTAATTGCTTACACTGATTTCCAATTGGTTTGACCTTTTTATAACAATTTTAAAGAAGTGGACAATCTGATAACAAGTGTTCAGGGGGTAGGTCATCAACATATATGCCCAGATTTCTCAATCCTCAACGTGCTGGAGTCTTGGGGATTTTGCTTTTGCTGATGAGCTAGCTCATCGATCTCCACCTCAATGTCAAACAGAGAGCCTTAACTTTATTGATAGTGACGTATTTTAACTACGCGGCGCTGCGGAAGAATATACTGCGCAAGTTTAGGTATTGTTTGGTGAATAATGCGTAGTTTGCGTTGTGTGATGATTCCCATTGGCCACAAATATTGCATGTGTTCGTTTCATCCTATAAATGATGTCATCATCCATCTGAATCCAACGATCAAAGGAAGAGGATTTGGTCAAAATGGCGGAAGTATATTCAACTAAAGGAAAATGTGACCTTTTGGTCGATGTCATAAAACATGCATCGGCATAAATCAATGAAGGAATTAGATTCATCCAGATGATCTTTCGAAGTTGTACGGGCCCTCTGATTAAGCCCAGCCCATACTCACTAAACAGCGTCAAGACCAATTTCATGGTAAACGGGCAGATCAGTGCTCTCTGGCCTAATCTGGATCCATCATGACGCCCAAAAGAGTGGGAAAGTAAGCTTTTATTTTTGTGTTTAAAATATAATATTTTATAACAAAATATATGAAGTCAGAATAAATACTAACTCCGATCCTAAATATAAAAGTCAGTTGATTAATCTGAGTAAATTAAAAAAATAAATTAAGTTAGTTGTTTGTTATAAATATGTGTTATCTTTTCTAAAATATCCTTACTAATCAAGTTCATTGGCTAGAATTACTATTATTAGAAAGACTATCTTTAAAAAAAAAGAATAAATATAAGAAACAAAGTGAATTGAGATCTTATATTTAGGATCAAAATAAAAATTAAATGAGATATTATATTAAGGATTGGAGGTAGTAATTAAAAATAACTAGTCCAAGAAAATGGTTTCATTTGTAAGAATGAAACTCATACTTAACAATGCCTCTTTAATTTTTTTTTCCTTTTCTTTTCTACGTCTCAATTCAAGTATAAATATGATATTGTTTTGAAGTTTAAAAAAATGATGTAAAAAATTACAAAACATATAAATTATAAAATTTATAAAGAAAAATACCAACAGTGGCACAGTGCATCTCCCGTAATGAGTCAACTTTATATATAAATATATAATTATATATATTCCAATATTTTTCCAGAACTTTATTTTTATTTTACAGTTGATCCCATATTTTAAAGAATTCAATGTGTGCAGTGTTTACAGTTGGCAAAACAAAATGTCAGTGTTTGTAGTGCTATCAATGCAGGACAAATATGGATTTGACTATTTAATTAATGAATTATGGCCAAAAGCAAAAAATATTTAAGTATAAAGTTCCCTTTTTACCCACGCACGGATGACAGACCCACACGGAGAAAACGCCGACCCACGTAGCGCAGTGGCGCGCTTCGCCGTCAACGTCATTCCAAATTCAAAATCTAGGTTGACCGTTTGAGATTTAAAAATCAAAATCGGGGAACAGAAATAAGGGCAAAAATGGCCGCTTCAGTGAAATCCAGTCCCAATACTCCCCAGTTCGGCAGCAATGATCGAACCCCAACGATCGAGACTCAAAAAATGTCTCAATACGAGCAGTCCAGAGAGCAAAGAATCAGAGAAAACCGAGAGAGATTGGAAAAGCTAGGTATTGCAGATCTTTCCCTCAAGCTCAAGGCCCAGACATCTCAACGGCGCACCCGATTAGACCCGTCGCACTGTAAATCCCCTCAGCGAGCATCTGCTCCGAAGCCATCCGGACCTCTTCGCCGCTCTTCCAGGTTATCCTATCAAGACTCTCTTGTGTTTTACTGTTCTGACTTTACTCCTGAATTTGCTTATGATTTCTGTAGGAAATCAGCTAGCGGAAGCGAGTCATAGAAATGCGATTTTTATTTTTTATTTTTTCGGTCTGTACAAAGTATTAAAAAATAAATTGATGCTTAACCGGGTGGATACTCAGGCTTCACCTTGCTTTCTTGCCATCGGACATCGGCAAACAAACACCTCAACTTTGATATTACTTTCATCCCTAACACATTTGATAGTCAGCTGGACGAAATGCACTAAATCTTCATAACTGCGTAGTTTGTGGTTGTGCTGATGCAGTGTTATCCTGAAAATATACGGATTAATGATCAAATTTAGTAGCCGTTCTCTCTTACACATTAGCATCACCTTTTCCCTTTATTTCCTCCTCCTCATTATGATTTTTATTGTCTCTAGATTGCAGAACGTGATACCAGTGAGTTACTCAGAGGTGCACCCAAAGAATGATGAATCTCTGGAAAATGGAAAGTTTGTGACAGATCCAGATTCAAAGCCAGAAATTTACACCGAAGAACACGAGAAGCTGCTCGGTAACACGGAGAAGCCCTGGACATTGTTCGTGGATGGGTATGGGAAGGATGGGAAACGAATTTATGATTCCATCAACGGGAAAACTTGCCATCAGTGCAGGTTAGCTCTAGGCTTTTTAACCAGAGGAAGAGGAGGGAATGATTACCGTGGGATCTTTAATAATGTTATCTTGAGTTGAATCGTCTGCCTTGATGTTGTGTTTACTGATTGTTAAATTCTTTTTTCAAAAAAATGTTTTGATTTAGTCCATACGTGATTGCCCGCCACTTCACCGACAAGTGGTTGATGGGCCTGCCACCTTTGTCCTGGCCAACGTGACAGCCAATTCGACAATAAGTTCTTCGAAAAACCAAGACCCAAAATGTGGCCTTTTAGGCTGGGAGAGGAGATTTCAGCTAGCTGTGCAACTTCTAGTTTAATTGATGTTTCAATTCCCTTTCATTTCACACTTTTTCTTTGAACTTTGTTACTAGATGTAAATACTTTATTTTGCAGGCAAAAAACCCTGGGCTATCGTACCCAGTGTAGCCAATGCAACATGGTCCAGGGGCAATTTTGTGGAGATTGCTTGTACATGAGGTATGCGTTCAACAAGCTTTTCTCTCTCATTCATTATTCGCCACGCATCCTGCAGTCAATGGTGATGTTATCCATTTATTGTTTGAACTCTGAAATCTTTCTTCAGTCAGCATAAGTGTATAACTATTTGACCCACCCAATCAATTCAATTTCTCGGGCATGTAAATTCAGCACATAATTAGAACCATATTGAGTGAGATAATATACATATTGCCATCCACTAATGTTGATTTAAAATAATCGACCCAGCAATTTACGATCCACCATGAGTTTTGTTGTAGGTATGGGGAGCATGTACTTGAAGCCCTGCAGAATCCAAGTTGGATATGTCCTGTTTGTCGTGGAATTTGCAACTGCAGTTTATGCCGTCAAGCCAAAGGATGGCCCCCCACTGGCTATCTTTATAGGAAGGTTACCCCTCTAAGTACTGACTGGATGCAAGCTTTGTTTCATCTATTATGTCCAGTTCTAGTTTTGCCTTAATTGTTGCATTCTCCATATATAAGGTATCGGCATTGGGCTACAAATCAGTTGCACACTTTCTCATTCAAACCCGTCGCGGTGGTGCAAATGTGGAGAAAGATGCAGATGATTCCGTCCCAGTTTCAGCAGAGAAGTCACCACCCGTTTCAGACGTAGGAGGGTTATCTAATGAGTCTCTTGAGGTCAATGAAAATAGTTGTGTTGGCTCATTGAAACCTCAATCTGAAGATGATGGAGGTCAAGTTTCTGCTAAGAGATCATTGCTTTTTTCTGATGTGCAAGATCAGCATGACAAGGGTGAATGCTTGGATACTGTGAAACATCAATCGGGAAATGATAGAGGACAAGTTTCAGCAAAGAGATCATTGCCTTTTTCTGATGTGCAGGATCAGGATGGAAAGGTTGCCTGCTTGGATTCAGTGATCGCAAGTGCTTCTTCTACCGAAGTGAAAGACTGTATTGCTAGAAGACTTAGGCCCAGGGTTCAAAGATCGTGAATTTGGAGGGACCCTTTTTCTTTGTTCGCTAAACTAGGGTTATTTTGGAAATTAAGTACGCTTAATTTCCAAGAAATGGGGCACATTTTTGTGGTTTTATCGCCAAACTTGGTCGATACGGAAGTGTACCATCTCTTTTGTGGATTGGAAATTAAGTGCACTTAATTTCCAAGAAATGGGGCACATTTTTGTGGTTTTATCGCCAAACTTGGTCGATATGGAAGTGTACCATTTCTTTTGTTGAATTAGAAGGGTTATCTTTCTGTGATTAGCTCAACTTTCTCTCCCCATGTATATGTTGAAGACGAATCAGGAACAAAATGGAAGATGATTCTCAGTTGTTCATTAACCTTAAGCTCCTGTCTAGTAGCTTCTTTTTTTTTTTTTTTAAGGCATCTACAAGGTACCTTTTTTCCCGTTTTGTGACAAGTGATGACTTGAAGAAAGACGCGAAAGCCAAACAAGTGAAACAGAACACAGTTGGAGGCATGCCAAAAGCCACAAAACGATGGGCCTGCCAAATTGAAAAATCCAAACAAGCAATGCTTACGATTGGTGTATGAGAGAGGGAAGAATATAGCCAAGAATGGCACACATAGCTAGGTTTGGTTGATAGAATGGTGCAAGGTGCCATTCCTATATAATCACTTTGAATAGATTAATGAAGAGATGGAATGTAACTAATCATCTTGACTGCAAAGACAAAAGCCAAATTACCCCTTAAACTACTCCAACTTTGCCATGCCCTCTATCTAAATCCTTCTGTTGGCTCTCAATATTTTTTCACACCGAGGGTCCTCCCAGTTCTAGTGGAAAC